ACTGAAGCTCCATAACACAGAATTTCTTTGGTTCATGGAGTTCAGGTGCCAGACATTTTGTAAAGAAAAAAGCATAAATGCCAGGATCATCATCCCTTTCCGGTAGATAACATCTAAAAATGTTATAAAAATTAAATTTTGATGCTGTTCCTTCAGTTCTGAACTCAAAGCATTCAGTTCAAAGTCAGCCGTTCTCTTGCACTATAGTAGCTGAATATTTTGTTCTCAGCCTTTATTTCCTCAGTGTCCCCTGGGGAAGCATTTAGGAAATGTCATACCTTCTTCCCCATACCTTCTTGATGGTGAGAGACAGTTATGCCTTGACAGCATTTTAAGATTGAAAATACAGGAAAGTATGTTGAGAATATAGATGTTCTGAGCAGGGGAGGCAAGGAATGTTGCAGGTCCCATCCCCTAAGAGGATACACCTGATGGGACCCAGAAGAAGGGCCTTCACCGTGGTGACGCCCTCCCTCTGGAATATCATCCCTCCAGAAATTAGACTGCCCCCCCCCCTTTGACACTCTTTTGGAAGGCTCTAAAGATGTGGTTCTGCCAGTGGGCCTGGGGAATCCAGAGCGGGATGGAGCCCATTAAATAGCTGGTACGAGTGTGCGTTGTCACCGGTGGGTGAGTTAGTATTTTATTATTTTTATTATTTTATTATTTTTATTTCTTTTATATTGTGTTTTTATTTCCTGTAAGCCTCCTTGAGTCACTGAGCGAGTAGGTGGCAATAAAATTTTCCAAACAGACAGACAGACAGACAGACAAATAAATATTGTTAATGCCATCTTCTTAAATAGTCCCTAATCGGAAAAAGCAGGAACAGGAGTTTTGGGAGAAAGCCTTAATTAATGATCCTATCTTTATGAGGATCTTAATATTAAGCCAATTTTTTTCACAAACTGGTTAAGATGCTTGCTTTAGGAAGAGGATTTTATTGGAAATGACACCTCATGCTGGCTATTGAGATTCAGGGAAACAGCTTGCTATCAGAACCCTTTCTCTAAAAGTTGTGATTATGAAAGGCTTCTGGTTTTTCACAGCTCTGAGTGATTTACCAGATCCCATTCCATAATTGCCTCCGGAAGTCATGGCTTCTCTCAGTCTGATATTCTTCTGCAGTTTTCTCTCTGTTGGCCCTCTGTAAGGCCTCCTGAAATGTACAAAGATAACTTAAATACATTTCCTGCAGTTCTGTGGCATACCCTTTTTATCATTGGAAAAAGCCCTTATTTCTATAAAATTACTCCTGCCTCTTCTAAGAAGATAGAAGTGCAAAAAAAAAAAAGAGAAAAGCATTGTCCTTTAATCTGGATTCCATTTTCAAATAAAACAGCCTAAGAAAAGTCAGTTGTCTGTTTCATGATTAAGGCGATTGAAGCAAGCTCCCTTCTGATTTTTTATTTATTTATTTATTTAATTGAATTTTTACCCCGCCCTTCTCCTTGCGGACTCAGGGTGGCTGACAGCCTGATAAAAACAAATACAAAAAATACCCCAATACTATCGTTAAAAAACATAATTAAAATGAAATATTAGATTTGGCCTTTGTTAATTTAAAATTGTTTTTAAAACCCCGCTAAAAATTTCCCCTTAGGCCAGTCCTGCTAGTTGAAATAGCCATGTCTTAAGGGCGCGGCGGAAGGAAGGGAGATCCGGNTTTCAAATTCACATTACTATCTGCAAAGGTAAGACACAGACCATAGGGCATCAGTCCAATTCCATGTAAAAATTACCAAGAATTACTTTAGGATTTCAGTGTTTAATTTCTTGATGTGAAGAGATGCCGTAACCTAGCTTTAATATGTGGACATTATAAGAAGCAATGACTTAAAAAGCTAACATAGGTAGTAGGAAGATGAAAAGAAGGAATGGAGAGGGAAGAGGCTGACACACACGTGTTCCATGGCTTAGATGTTAAGATTTATTGCAGAGAGTAGACTGGAAATTTCTGGTTTATTTCTGTATGGTTTCCAATAGATAGTAAAGAGTCTTTTTTAAAAATCTAAACAGCTTCACAATAATGACAAGATAACATCACTTTGTTCTAAATTGCTGAAGAAAAATATAATGCTTTTGCTAAAAGTGTTAGTGCCATTGAAATTCTGGTTTTTTTAGAGCAAACTTCTGGAACCACAGCACTTTTAATTTTAAATGCATGTTTTTGCATTTGACTCTAGAATCACCTAGATATTCTAGAAAAAGAATAAAGTGGATCCAACTAACCTGAAATCTGCCTTTTCCTGATTTTTTTAGACCCCATTTGTTATATCTGAATCAGGCCATTCTGCATACAAAAGGCTTTTCATTATGTAACTTGATATTGAATATATATGTAATGTTCCCCTTCTGGGGAACCCAGCTCTGCATCTCAAAATTTATGCTTTGAATAGAGGGTTTTGGGATTTTTTTTGTCTAAAGGGGAAATTCATATTAAGTCATTCTCAAGGAATGAGGAAGTGCAGGGGGTGTCTTTTTATTGGACTTATTTGTGCACAAGGATGTGACTTTAAAAAAAATTGAGTAGTTATTTAGTGAGACTACAAATTCCTTTGAAGTTACAAAATTAAATGTCCTCAGTTTGCTTACAGGTTTCATTTTATTTCCAAGCATGCTCTCTGAATACCATGTATCATATCATGTACATTATACATTATATATATAAATTTTAGTAGAGATTATAACAAAGGTAAAATATAAACATGAAAATATATAAATTAAGAAAAAGAAAAAAATACAGGGACTATTTGAATTTATGTTTACAGAAAAGTAAGGTAAAGTCTCCTTGACTCATGGTCAACCCCTGGTAACTTCATGGATAACTCCAAGCAATTTTCTTGGTTAAGCGCAGGGCCTCTTCTGGCATGTTTTTTCACTTCTTACTCTAGCCTTAGTATTGCTTGAGTAGTTGCCCATCCAAGAATTAACCAGGCCCGGTTGTCAAGACTTTGGATCAAGTGTAGCATTAAACTTTCTGGCTACTCCTCATTCCAAATTAGGCACAACAAAGTAAGATAAGTAGTTTACGTTAGAGAATTAGGGAACTTCTCCTTTGAAGAGCATCCGGAATCCCGCCTGCTATGTATACTGGCCCCCAGGTTTAAATGCTAGTCCTCTTTCTCCCACCTATTTGATTCAACAGTTATGTAGCTGCTGATTTCCTAGCCTTAAAGGTTTATGCCAGCTTCCCTCTTGCTTTCAAAAAAATGGCTTTGTCATGAAAATTAGAGAATTCCTTCTCAGCTTTTGTCCTTTTAGCTTGTGAACCCAGAGAAGATCAGCCTGATCCTGCTGGTATAAACATTTGCTGTTGGTTATGAAGGGGAAACAAACCTAAACTCCTGGAGCCAACTGAAGTTTAGCAAATCACTGTGTGCTCTTGTATTAAAATATCTTTTCATCAGGGTAATGATCTGGGAGAGGAGAACAGGAAAGATATCCAGTGCCCTCTTTAGAACATGTCCCTGCTAGGTTTATGTCAAAATTTTAGTTGCCACTGTTATCCTACAGCAGTGTATCTCAATCTTGGCAACTTGGCAGCATGGGGAATTCTGGGAGTTGACTTGAAGGTTGCCATGGTTGAGAAATACTGTTCTACATTTTCTCAGTCCTCCCCATTTTGCTTCCGTAATTCTCAGTCAATATGGTCCTAGCTGTCTTGTAGTCTATGCACGAGGCAGGGAGATGTTAGGCTGGGAAAGGCTGCTTTGATCTATGTTGTTTTGTTTTTCTTTCAGTTGGGGGTGTGGTTTTCATTAGGCTGTGCCTACTTAGCATTGGAAGACTACGAAGGTGCTTCCCGGGCCTTTCAGCGCTGTGTGATGTTGGAACCTGATGTAAGTAAATGTAAAAGGAAAAACGGCCCTTAGGGGTGCTTTGATTAAAAATCCTTTTATTATCATTTCCTACATTTTATGGAACATGTAAAGTTGGTGGATTTCTCAATGAATTTATGTTTGAGAGTCAGACAAAAATTCCTTGCAGAAAAAAAGCAGCAGTTAACAACCATGGAGGAATTGTTTTAGTAATAGTCCTCGATTTACAATCATTCGTTTAGTGAAGTTACAATGGCACTAAAATAGTGACATATGACCATTTTTTTTCACACTTACAACCATTGAAGTGTCCCTGCGGTCACTTGATCAAGATTCAGACGGTTGGCAAAACTGGCTCGTGTCCATGACGTTTGCAGTCTCCTGGTGTCATGTGATCACGTTTTGTAACTTTCTGACCAACAAAATCAGTGGGGAAGCCAGATTCACTTGACAAGTGTTAACTAACTTCACAGGTGCACTGATTCGCTTAACAGCTGTGGCAAGAAAGGTCATAAAATGGGACAAAACTCACTTAACAACTGTCTTGCTTAACAATGGAAATTTGGAGCTCAACTGTGGTCGTAAATCAAGGACTATCTGTAGAGATTAGTTGAGTTCTTTAGGTCTCACTGTATCTACCCAGCTGCGTAGTGTGCATATATGTTACAGAGTGTGTTATCTGTGCCCTAATTATGTGCAGATGCACTGTATATGCATGTACAAGATATGTTATAATGCACCAGCTATACATGTAATGGACATATGCGCACATACGCAAATATAAAAGTGCCAAATGCTCACAGGGTAGCCAAAACTTTTAAAAACTCTGTGTTCTCGTATGGGATTTTGTCCATTAAAACTGAAAAATATACTTAAAGATTCCTAACTTTTTATCCTTATAATCCTTATTCCGCGTTCTAGGAATTTTTATGATGGTGCTCACCATTTGAAAGCTTGCTCTTCCTTGATTTTAAATGACATCTTTCTTTCTAAATAAGAAATATGATATGGCACCATAAGTCCTAGGTAATAGTCTCCCCCCCTCATTTTGCAAGACATTACCAGGTCTTGGTTGTAAAAAGACTTCCCAAAATCATTATTTGAGAAATGATGATAGAATATTCTGTGACCACATTGCCATTATTTATGTTGGTCTTTTGTTCTTTTATTAGCATCTGTTGTTTGCATCAGAAACTGTGTCAGGGTACTTGAGCTTTGCATATCCTAACAGGTGACAGTGGTACATGCTTGAAACTCTCCTCTTATAAATGGTTGGTTTGCACACATTGATGGAGGGGTGTAAATTCAATATTTGTGTTTGTGTGAATATCATTTGCATTTAAATGTTTATCCCTTCTGTGATAGTTTAATGCTAAGACCTGTGTGTATTTTGACTGTAGAATGCGGAGGCTTGGAACAATCTATCTACGGCATATATCAGATTGAAACAGAAGTAAGTGCATCAAAGCGGTTTTCTAATTCTTCCTTCCAAAATAAACAGCCCTGGTTTCCTCTCACTCTGGCCTTTCCGGAATAACATTCAGCTTCTGAATATACTGCCTTCAGGATCCTCTTTATCACCACAAATCCAAGCTCATTTGGCCTCCCATCATAAATATCATTAGAATGTCAGAGATTATATCACGAAAAAAAACTTTTGGAAAGAAAAGCAACTCTTTAGATCTCGCCGCACCCACAAATGTTACAGTAGAAAAAATATTGCACAGTGTACAATTGATTAGGATTTCAAGTTCACAGTGAAGCTGGTAGTAGAAGGGCTATCTGTGCTTGGCATATCATACACACACACACACACACACACACACACACACACACACACACACAGATAGATAGATAGCTAGCCAGGAAGCAAAGTATTACACACACATACACAAACACACATATAGATTTAGATAGATATAGATATAGATACAGCCAGGAAGCAAAGTATTATAGAAGCAGCCGCATCCAGGGCTGTACCCAATATACTGTCCTCCAGATTCGTTGCACCACAATTCCCATAGTTCCCACCCACAACCAATTTGGAAGTCATGTTTTGTCATATCAGTACATCTGGAGCCAGTGCCTCTTCTAGTTATATTGTACAACAACATTATCATTATATTACAGGTGGTCCTCAACTTACAAGCACAATTGAGCCCAAAATTTCTGATGCTAAGCGAGACAGTTAAGTGAATTTTGCCCCATTTTGTGACCTTTCTTACCACAGTTGTTAAGTGAATCACTACAGTTGTTAAGCTTACTTGTCAGAAGGTCGCAAAAGATGATCACATGACCCCCCAGGACTCGGCAATCATCATAAATATGAACCAGTTGCCAAGCATCTAAGTTTTGATCACATTACCATGGGGATGCTGCAGTGGTCATATGGGTGAAAAACGGTCTTAGGTCCCTGCGAACAGTCACTAAATGAATTGTTGTAAATCGAGGACTGTCTGTACATTTTATGTTAGCTGATTAATTTGACTATTTGCTATTGAGGTTTAAAGAGTACTTCAAGATCCTATTTTTGTTGTGAACTAATTTAAATCAGGGGTTCCCAATCCCCGGTCTATGGCATACCAGAAACTGGGCTGCACAAACAAGCGAAGTCCCATCCACGAGATACAGGCAGCAAGCGAAACCACGCCCCCTCCGGTCCGCAGAAAAACCTCTCTCCACGGAACCGGTCCCTGGTGCCCAAAAGGTTGGGGGATGCTGGTTTAAATAATGCGCAGCTGGCAAGAGAAGGTGACTACTGATATTTAGATGCATAGCATCATTCTTATTTAAACCAGAATCCTGTCCTAAATCTGAATGTATCTTGTTTTAAACAGGTGATATGACTAATGATTTGTATTTGTGTTGTTCCAATATTCATCGTGAAAATTGGCTGTTCAATATTAAGTTATCTTTTCATTTTCCTGGAAATGTACCTTTCATAAATCTTTTGAATGGACTTGATATCTTAATTCGGTATGGTTGTTTCATTTATGTAACAATAATTCGGTTGCATATCTTCTTGATAAAACAGCTTTCAGCTTTTCAGAAGCACAACTCAATTGTCAAGATAATTTTTGTTGCTTCGACTATGTTCCATTAATCTTCTGCTTAAAGGAATGCATCTTCAGAAAACAAGCTAAAGGGTATTTTTATTTTCTTCATATCATGAAAAACAATTTATCAACTTTCTCAAAAGACACTGAAAACGAGAAAACCAGTAGGGAGCTTACAAAGTATTGTATACACAGGAAACAAATTGCTAAGAGGATGCATTGAACCAAAAGCCATAAATAAGTTCAAGAGGTCTTTAGACGTATTTATGGAATAAGCAGACTGAAAGATGCAGTTGCCTCAGAGATTGCAAGGAACAGAAAATAGATGCAAAGAGATTCCAAGATGCTCAAGGGTCCTCTTGAAACAAATGTCCTTTTCAGCAACTTTCCATGTTAACATAGAAATAGCCTAAAGAAGCTTTCCAGCTAATAAACTCTTTAGAAGTAATCATTAGATATCTTTGAACCAATGCCTCTATTTCAGTGATGGCGAACATTTTAGAAAACAAGTGCCCCAAAACTGGCCCCGCCCCCGCTCCATCCCCTGCCTCTCCCCCACCCTGCCCCCACCCCGCCTGCCCACAGGGCCACTCACAGCCTCCAGGGCCTGCCGCAGATCACCCAGGCAGCCCAGCAGCGCCATGGTGGCCACGCCCTCTGCCCGTGCCCCACAACATCAACTGTGCATGATAGGGCGTGAGGGTCTATGCTGCCTGGCTGCCATGTCCTTCGCTGCGCTGCTCCACATGGGCCACGCTCGGAGGCGATTCTCCTCCGGGGGGCTGTTGGTGAGGAGGGGGTCACGGGGGGAGGCAAGGTTGGGCAACGGCACGTGTGCCCACAGAGAGGGCTCCGAGTGCCACCTCTGGCACCCGTGCCATAGGTTCGCCACCACTGCTCTATTTGCTCAAACCAGACTGGTTGTGATAGTCTTTGAGAATATGATTGGAGAGCATCTGATACTCAACTCAGTTGTTAGAATAAAGGTTCATTGGCTCCAGGTCCAGATTTTCAGATGCCAAAGACCACATGACTCACTCTGATTATATATAAAATTATATATAACCCCCCCCCCCAGTTAATGATGGTTTTGTGGCAAAGACAGGAGTTTATTTCACCTCTTTTCACTATGACAAGAAAATGAAAAGATTCTAAGCAAGCAAATGGGGAAGCCTTTCATGGAAAAACAAAGTGTGCCCATTTTATAATTAATTAATGCTAGATATTTTTTCTTTTTTCTTTTTAAACCAGAATAAAAGCATTTCGGACTCTTCAGGAAGCTCTCAAATGTAATTATGAGCATTGGCAGATTTGGGAAAATTACATTCTAACCAGTGCAGATATTGGAGAATTTTCGGAAGCCATTAAAGCTTATCACAGGCTTATGGACTTACAAGAAAAGTATAAAGATGTCCAGGTGAGATGCCCATCTTTTTTATTCACGTGTCTAATTTTAAATAATATGACTCATTACAAAGAATAATAACTTAAAGCATGTTGAGTATCTTAGGTTGCCTGCTTTAGAATTTTAGAAGTCCTTAGAAAATCATTCAAAAATATAACTGTTTCTGTTTCAGGTTGTATCAAGACCTAGTAAAAAATGATCCTTTTCTACAGCATAAGCAGTGGATACCTGTCTCCCATCAGTTCTGATGGGAGGAAATAGCAGCCTCACCCAGTTTAGCTTTGCTTTTCTCAGAAAACACATATACTTATGAACTCCACTAATTACCTCAGTTGCAACATTTCTTTTTTTCTTGTACTTTCCTTTTACTTTTTTTTAGCATTTGTCTTCTTTGGAGAGCCTTTAGGCCTGTGGCCTGAAAATTAACAGTGTATTACCCAGGAATTCCTCTGAGCTGTCAACTCAAATGCACATAAGGTCCTCGGCTTCTAACTTTGTATCATCATGCACTTTCCCTCTCTGCCAAGAGCCCCTGAAGAGGCAAGCCAATGCAGTGGCTCTTGAGTAACCAGATGTGAAGTGCATGTTTTTTACAGCACCCTCTTTGTGTGTGTGTGTGTGAGAGAGAGAGAGAGGGGGGGAGAGACTATTCCTTTAGACCAGTGGTTCTCAACCTTTTTAATGCCGCAACCCCCCAACCGGTCGTAAGTCGAGGACTAAACTGGTCGTAAGTCGAGGACTAAACCGGTCGTAAGTTGAGGACTAAACCGGCCGTAAGTCAAGGACTACCCAGCTGGTCATAAGTCGAGGACTTTCCCTGCCTGGGAGCACCACGCATGCGTGGTTCCGCCCCCTGCGCTGGCCGAGGCGTAGCTGGCAAGCGGCAGAGACGGAGCAGGCCAACCACCAGCTGGCCCAGCCCAAGGGAGGTAAAGCACCCACCGGAAAAGGGGAAAAAAATGGCGGACAGCCTTGCTTGGCGACCCCCGTGAAATGGTCGATCGACCCCAAATGGGGTCGCGACCCATAGGTTGAGAACCACTGCTTTAGACAGTATAGGCATTGGAGGGGATGGAAGTCAGCCAAGCCAGTACTTGGTTCTCGTACCCCCATTCATCTAATGCATGGGTGTCAAACTCGCCGCGTCACATGACTTGTCACGATGTATCGCAAATTTTTTTTGCATTGCCGGAGCTGGGGTGAGCACGATCTCCGCATAATGCATGATGCAACCGGTCTGCGGGCCGGCAGTTTGACACCCCTGATCTAATGGATAGATAGCATTCCATCTTCCATACTGTTTTTGCCTTTTCTAGTGCAATGGCAAAAGGATAATTGTGTGGGGGTGTGGGATGTTAATATTGCAGAAACAGTTCTGCAGTAATGTGTTGGAAAGTCAAGGGGAGGAGCAATTCTGCTATCATACAGTTTGATATTTTTGCGATGTTGATATTACCTCAAAGAGACACATAGAATTCAGATTTCTGTTACTGATTGTTAGTATCCCTGGAAAATATTTAACAATGTTTAAATATTGTTAAATACAGCAGCTAAGGAGATCGTTCCTTTGTTTTATAATTATATTTGTTATAGTATTATTCATCAGGCATCTTCAGAGGAAATAATTAGATAATGCTGTTACACAATTATAACATCTTGTACCACCTTCAAATAGATTACTATTTTAATAAATTAATCCAGTCATTTAAGATATTAATTCCAGCTCTGATCAATTGAACCATGTATTAGCAAACATTTTGGAAACTCCACTCAACTTTATGGGAGTCAAACTATAATTAACGATTTCCTTCCCTTTAAGGTACTTAAGATTCTGGTAAAAGTAGTCATGGACGGAGTAGATGACCGAAATGGAGAGACAGCCAAAGGATTAAAGGGAAAACTGCAGGCTCTCTTCGGTAGAGTGACTTCTCGAGTGACAAGTGATGGAGAAATCTGGAGATTATATGCTAAGCTTTATGAAAACGGGCAGAATGAGAACTGTGAAGACATAGAAAAGGTAAACCTTAATGACAGAATATGCCTCTACTACCAGAACAGATACGTGTTTTCATATTTGATATTATGGTTTTGATGTATCCTATGTGAGAATACGATTGGTTCATGAAATATCCTTTGCTTGAATTTTACATTCCATTACCAGCTTGTTTGGCGACTTGACTAGCAAGGTTACTTATTTTAAAGATGGATAAAAAGAGAAAAATAATGAAGGGAGCACCGAGATAAAATAACAGACTTTTCCCTCTTAGCATGAAAAATACACATTCAGGCAGAGATGAATTTAATTATTTCTTGTGATTCCAGACTTGCTTAAGATAGTATTTATTCATTTAAGATGTGCTAATCACAGAATAGCTGATCTGCTTTATTAGACGTAGGGAATGGTCTCGCCAGTTTTTTAATGTTTCATTCTGGCATTACCAAAGTGCTAAATATTACTTTTAAGCAATATGTCTTCTGCAAAATGATTTATACATTTCAGTCTTCCTTTGGAATTTCAATAGCTGAATCATTATCTCCATGCAGCAGTCTTTGGCGGAAGAGAATGTTTCCAATTATTAAACTGTTACTGTTTAAAATAAGGCAAATAGAAGCCCCAAGTATGGGATCACTTATTAAGCTGTTCTATGTGGTCAGTCTGATCCTTTAGCATTGCCGACACATCACTATTGTACTGCAGCTGTACCTTTCTCTGATGTGTGTGTGAGACATCCTTCCTCCATATATGGAGAGGACTGAGGAAACTGTAGAAAAAAAGAACAAAGATAAGAAAGATGAGTGAGAAGCAGACATGTGAGAGTAAAACGAGATGCTTAGCAGAATGCAGAAAATGGAAAGGAAATATAATAAATAACATTAGAAATGTTAGGTAGACATAGGAATCCTGTGTGGGAGATAGCCAAGAGATTAAACAGGAAAAAGAAAAAGACAAGGTTTGTATGTGTTTTACTATGCACATTTTTTAAAATTCTTTTTTCACTTGTATTTGTCTCCCTTACAGTCATATATTTATACAGCACTTCCTTTGTCATTTCTTTTCTTTTCTTGTGGGGGCAGGGAAGTACATAAAAAAAAGGATTTTTTTCTCCCGTGTAATTTCTTATCTCCTGGTGCCTTGATTCTAGGCAAACGTTGGGTAATTACAATCTGAAAGAGGCAAAATAAAATTGTCCACTAGTCCAATTCCCTTTCAAACTGTAGAGATTCTCCTTTTCATAAACTAGTAAATAAATAAAGCTAGTATTTTTGCTCCAAGTCTTAATCTAGAAATTTGGTATATTTTTTCTGTAATTTCACTTTCCCTCTCATTTTAAATGCATTCCTAGGCTACATTTGAGACAGCAGTATTGCTAAAGCCATTGGAAGAGACTTCCCCATGTAAGAGAGGAAATAATAAATACTCTTTTAAAACAAGGAGCGTTTCTACTTGTGGCCTGTATCCAATGTTATACAAGTGAACTTCTACTGATAAAATAATTTTTCTATTTTTCTCTCCCTGCCCGACCACTGTATCCTCCAATATCCACTAAATCAACTAGAGAAATCTCCCAACCATCTGGAGGAGATTTAGGTATATGTGCAAACAGCAGGAGAGTCATCCATTTTGTTGGCACAGTGGACAGACAAAATGGGATATAGTTTTATCTTTCCTATAACTGATTAACATTCATTTTATGGGCTAATGGGTTTTCTTAGTGAGACGTTCAGTCAGAGGCTCAATATGCTTTTGTAAGGTGTTTTATTTGTAAATTAATTTTTATTTTTGCATTGAAATTTGATGGACTAAATGGCCTATTTCAACTCTTTGGTTCCAAAAAACCTCATCCTTCAGATGTATAATTTTAGAACGGCAACATTGTCAAAATATTGTTTCATGATCATGGGTTTATACTGGACAATACTTCCCTAAATATCGATGAAATCATTGACCCAGACAAGGTATATCAGTCAATCCTTTTTGTGAATTCTTGGGGGCCCACTATATGGAACAACAAAAGAGTTCACCCTTGATTTGTGAAAATATTTTATTGTATTTAGGTTTTCTAAAGCTGTAATGAATAAAGCAAGATGAAGAAATAGTGAAAAAGTTGAAATATGCACATTCGTTCTTTGATCAAATGTTGTAGCATCTTTATCCACTGCCAAAGGAAACCAATGGCTAAATCATGTGCTTTCCACTGAGGCTATCTATTTTGGCTACATCATTCTCAGTTTTTTTTCCAGATTGCATAATTCTCGCATAAATATCTCCAATTTCTCACTTCAGAACACAAAATACAAGATGAATCGTTTCCTTGATGTGACTTCAGCTTCCTTGTTTTAAACTGTTGAGTTCTAGTATCCTAGCAACAGAATATCAATTAATATTATTGCTAATTCAGGATGACCAAAGAGAGCTTGTCAGGCTCAAATATAAACAGTTCTCTAGCTTAGTATAGAATAATACAGTGCAAAATTTCAAAATTGCCCTATACACTCATAAAAACTGCTAAAAATTTGAGAACCCCTCAACCCTTCCCCCTTTTTTGACACTGAAACTGTAGGTTTGCTAAAATATCTAGGAGAATGACACAATTTCTTAAAAATAATAAGTGCATCATATTTAAAAGTGCAGAAATCTCAATTCTCATACATACTGGTCATTAGATCCCAAAGTGACATGAATACAGGCCAGGGTTATCAAGTCCTTCACTTAGTATTGAAGAATAGCTTTTAAGTGGTTCTGGCTGCAGCATAGTATTAAGATAGAAAAAAGGATGACTTTAAATTTAGTAGTCTAATTGTGAGGAGGTGGATCTTTTTGTTTAGTTTTTCTGAAGAGGACACTTGCATGTTCTCACATTTAAGGCCCACCTCACCTCTCCTGAATATAAGGTAGTCCTCGACTTATGACCACAACTGAGCCCAAAATTGATGTTGCTGAGACATTTGTTGAGTTTTGCCCCATTTTACAGCCTTTTTTTCCAATTTTTAAATTAACGTATAACAAAAAAGTTTTGCCCCATTTTTCTTGCCACAGCTGTTAACTGAATCACTGCAGTTGTTAAGTTAGTAACATGGTTGTTAAGTGAATCTGGCCTCCCCATTGACTTTGCTTGTCAGAAGGTCGCAAATGGTGATCACATGACCCCGGGACACTGCAACTGTCATAAATATGAGTCAGTTGTCAAGCGTCTGAATTTTGATCACTTGACCATGAGGATGCTGCAACAATCCTAAGTGTGAAAAAAATGGTCATAAGTCACTTTTTTCAGTGCTGTAATGTCAAACAGTCACTAAATGAACTGTTGTAAGTCGAGGACTACCTGTACTCTCTTGTTAAAGAATGTTATATTGTGAATGCTTTGCTTACAATCAAATCAAGGTATATCTAGTAGGGCATTTTATTTGAAGAAACTGGATAACTAGCCAGTGCTGTAAGATCACCAACAGCTTTCTGCCCACCACATAGTAATATTCTATTGTATTTTATTATAATAGAGTGGTCTCTTTGCAAGAGCATGTGTGCCTGGAGAGGTTGTGGAATGGGCTCCTGATTGGGTCCATGAAGGGATTCCTAGATCTACATTTCTTACACACTCTCCTTACCCTTTGGGAGAGCCTTTTTGGTTTGTTATCATCATCCACCTTACACAAGTTCAAGGCCCCTTTGTTTTGGTTTGAATTACAGAGAGCAGAGTAGGAAAACATCCTCACTTCTTTTTCTCAGTAACTAAATTTGACAGGGCATTTCTAAAGTTAAAGACCTCTCAGAATGAATGGGTTAATTCAGTAAAGTCAGACTTTTTTTTTATTACAGATATTAAGGTTAAGGAACTAAATAGGTTTTGAAGATAATGGAGAAAAGTGACAAATTATCTTTACTCCTGCAGACCTTAACTCAACTGCTAAATTTTCCAGGCAGAAACACACATCCATACATGCACAAAATTCAGATAGGAACAAGGATGCAGACAAGCAGCTCAGATCAATCTGTAACATAAAGAAAATTATAATCTGAATTAGCTCCACATTTTCCTCGGTAACTATTTTCTCATGATTCTCCAACTTTTCTCTGGGCTGGGCTGCTTTTCTTACTTGGCAGAAATTAGACTGAGAAGAGAGGCTCTTTCTTCTTGGGATGAAAGACAAAACATCAAAAGCAAAATCTGAATTTCCCCTTTCTCTTTTTCAAAGACCACCTGAGAAGGGGAGTTGAGCCTTGAACATCTGATTTTCCTGAGTTCCAAATCGATAGCACACATTCAAATTTTTCCTTAATTCTTTGGTGGGAGGAGGTGTTACTCCCTCTCCGTATTGATATAAAAGAAGCATTAAACTCTGAATGTAAGGTAATGTTTGCAGCATTCAGAATACTATGGAATTTAAAGAACTCCTTAAGTCAGTGTTTCTCAACCTTGGTCACTAAGCGGTGTGGACTTCAACTCCCAGAATTCTGCTGCGCTGGCTGGGGAATTATGGGAGTTGAAATCCACATCGCTTAAAGTGGCCGAGGTTGAGAAACACTGCTTAAGTTATCTGATTCCATTACAATAGAACAGGGAGGAGAAATACCTGTGCCAACAGATAATGAAAAATAATTCTTCTTTTGTTTGGCCATTGGCTGTGCCATATAGGATCGACGGGCAGTCCTATAAAATAAAATAAACAATAAATAAAATAAACAATAAAAAGAATACATTGTAGCATACAGCATTAAGGAAAAAACAATAACCAAATGATAAAGCTGAACTTGATAGCATTTGATAGTTAGAGGCATACTTAACATTCTTTAGCCTTTTTCCTTGTTTTAGACATGTTTTTAGAGCTAGTTAAGCTTATTGCAGATCCCATGCTGCAATTTTCATATTACTTCCTTCATTAACATAACGAGATATAATTCCATCAATTTTCAGCCATGGTGACCACAAAGAAGAGCTTGAGGGCTGTAGATTCTTTCCCCTCCCCTTGTTCAATATATCATTTTTTTAAAAAATGACAGATTTTAAAAAGCAGATTAAATTTACAGCCCTAAAATCATAATTTTTAAAAGTGTGTGAAGGACTCAACCACATGATATATTTTGATGAGATGGCCTGGATGAAGATCTCAAGCGGAGATTCTTAAGGTTTCAATAGATCTGTGGGGGTGGATTGGTTTTGCAGATAACTTGGTCCCAAACTGCAAGAGGTTTTAAGGATTAAAGCCAGTACTTTGAATTGAACCCAGAAAGGGCACAATTGTACTGCCATAATCTGGTCTCATTTTCCATATCCATTAATAATCATGCAGCTATATTTTGTAATAGGCACATTCTCTGGACTATTTCCATTCTTTCTGAGAGACATAGCTTTCTAAAATCAGTTTCTTATCCTCTCAAAGATAAGTGGTCATTCAGAATCCTCCTTGACCATATCTTCAGGCACCTATGACTGAAAACATGTAATAAAACAGGAACAGGCATTGTTCTTCACTGTTATTTTCAGAGATGATCTGAGTGACTTGCAAGCATGTTGCAATGAGACATCAGAGATTCCATGAATCTTTCCCTAGATCAGTGGTTCTCAACCTGTGGGTCGGGACCCCATTTGAGGTCGATCGACCATTTCATGGGGGTCGCCAAGCAAGGCTGTCCGCCATTTTTTTCCCCTTTTCCAGCGGGTGCCTTACCTCCCTTGGGCTGGGCCAGCTAGTGGTCGGCCTGCTCCGTCTCTGCCGCTTGCCAGCTACACCTTGGCCGGCGCAGGGGGCGGAACCACGCATGCACGGCGCTCCCGGGCAGGGAAAGTCCTCGACTTACGACCGGTTGGGTAGTCCTCGACTTACGAGTGGTTTAGTCATCGACTTACGACCGGTTTAGTCATCAACTTACGACCGGTTGGGGTCGCGGCATTAAAAAGGTTGAGAACCACTGCCCTAGATCCAATTGCAAAAAATTCTGAATTGCTCATAAGGCTATTATTCAATAAGAAGGGGAGGGGGAAGCCTTCTGTGTCACCAAAATAGTGAGCTCTGCTGGGTGTTTGTTTATACTCATCCTGAATCTTTTACCTGAATTCAAACCTTCTGTCGGCTAGCTTCATGTTGGTAACCTAACTCTTTCTTCTCATCCGTATCACGCCGTGCGGCTGTTCCTCGTAGAGATCCATGCCAGCCTGCCTAATCCTCCCTGAAGTGTCATCTCTGTGGTGATTTGCAAACTCCATTTCAGGCATCCATTTCCCAAGAGTCAAAGTCATGTGTCATTTTATATTTCTTAAGTCAGGAAGCATCTGGAACCAAGCTATTTTTGTTAAAGAAGGGTTGGTTTATTTTTGCCACTCGGACTGTTTCTGTATTTAGTTGAGCATCAAAATGTGTCAATTGAAAGGGTGAGATGGCTGTGTGGCTTACATCATAACACTGTAAGCTCTTGTTTTGTTTGATTTTGTTCTGTTTTGCTTTGATGCAAGATAGTGTCACTGTTTGCTTTTCCAGTGCCTGTAGCCTGATTGGCATCATCTCCATCTCTCAAATATTGATGGCATGTAGAGCATCAGGAAATGGAATTCACGGGCTACATTAAGTTATCACATTGTGCGACATTTCTAATGAATAAGCTGTTTGTGCACATTGCCCAGTTGCTTCCACTTGGCTCTTCCTGCCAGCAGATACAGCTGACATGTTCCAACCATGGTATGTTTAGCAGTATGCATGAACTGGGATTTGTTTCTTTCTTAACAAGTCAAAGCCATAAATTGTGACTTCATCGTGGCTTATGAAACTGCTTGCCAGGAGAGATACAAGCCATAGTTCTCTGCTCATACTTAAGGCTAAAGAAATAAGTAAGAGACTCATTTGGGTATGTCAGCAATCACATTCCAGATGGGAACTGCCAGGCTAAAACTGAACAAGCTGGTATTCTGAACTCCAAGTATGAAGAACATGAAGTCATTTCACAGTGGAAAATTCCTTCTCAGGAATTTTCTGGGGAGCCACAGGAATTTTTAAGTGTCCCTATGAGCAGGAATCAAGAAGAACTTAACTAGGTTCTGAAAAATGTAACATGTTTTTATACTTTAAACTACGCAAACCAGATAACAGCACAAAAACTACTAATCAGTTCGTAGTTTAATATCTACTGTGCACAACCAGTTCCATCTTCCTCATGTTCATGTTGCTATCATGTTTTCATGATATTTATGGAGAGATGAGAGCCTTTTTCCGATGTTTTTTCTTCCTTCTTCTGTTTGTGTCTACCCCAAATTATGAATTATGAAATTAAATTAAATTAAATTAATAGTTATCGCTATCTGTGTCGTCCATTAACACCACCTGAACACCAGGCATAAAAATTGAGTTCCTTTTATTGGTTCTGAAATTCCTCATATTTAACTTAGATGAATGAGTAGGAGGTCTAATATTGAGAGTAAGATAAAATTATCCCTGTTCACACTTTCTGCGTCTTGCATGATATATATGTCTTTTTCTGATCTCCTCTTTGCCCACTTTTTTTCTAAGTTAATCCCCTCAACCCTTATAAACCTTTTGCTGTAAACATTTTTTTTCAATTTGTGAAGCAGAGTAATTAGAACAGCATGCTGTTCCATTAGTTATGAGAAAAATAACATAAACCAGCAGTGATATTATCAAATACAAAATTCTGTGATGTATAATAGGTTGCCAAAATTGAAACATTATAGAGAAGGATTTGAATAAATTTTAGCATAGAGACTAAAATTTTGGATTTAGAAAATTGCTAGACTTATTTTATTGACATTCTTTTATCTGTCTGTCTGTCTGTCTATTTATCCATCCATCCATCCATCCATCCATCCATCCATCCATCCATCCATCCATCCATCCATCCATCCATCCGATTAATATGTTGCCCATCTTACCAAAGACAACTTTCTTCATTTGCTTCTGCTTAGTTTTAGGCTCTTTCTCTTGAATATCTACTTCTTTCTCCTTAGAGTCCAAATTGCTCTTTTCAAATTACAAAATCAATTCAGAATAAAATTGGCACCTTATTCAGGTGCATAATGGCTCTAATTATGAAAATACAAGTGCTTTTTTACTTTCAATTGCATTTAAATACGATGACCTAGCAAAATATGGGTCACATGTATCTGTCTAGACAGATTTTTTTTTAACTTAAAAATTGTCTCTTAACCATATGCTACTTATATGTCTGTCATACTTGAGAGACAAAAACAGCTAAAACATCTGTGCTACAGCTGCAAAGAAAGAGGCTGCTTTAAAGCTGAGGAACTAATAATGTATTACCAGTCAGTATGCTTGGGGGGGGGGGGGAATTTGCATGTACGCATAAAAGTAAAGCAACTTTTAAGTTCACAGTACCTCTGTCATTGCAGGCATTGCAGTATCTCACCAAAGCATACAAATGTGAAATCCAATCAGGAGACTGGGATAAAGATACTTTCTCTTTTAAGAAAGTAGCCAGAGATGCTCTAGAACTTGCACACGGTATGTCCTGTATAAAAATGTTGATATAAGTCGCAGCTGATTATCTATTTCTGAAGCTCTTTTTGTCGAAACAACAAGTAGTGTATATAGCAGACCATACACCTGAATATAATTTCCAAGGAAATAGTTGAGGGAACAGGAAGTGAGATGTAGCAAATATATCTCAAAGTAAAAAAAATAAAATAAAATTGGCCAGCCATGTTGTGTTTGGAAACTTAGTAGAAATGCTAAACCTTTTGTTATATTGCCATAAAAACCGCATTATTTTCTCCATGTAGTCATCATAAGTTGTGCTTGACTCAAGGACAGGTTTACCTGCTTCTACCACTTCAGAAAGTAAGCAATAATGAAAAGGTTGAAATTAAAAGTAACTCCAACCCTCAGAAAGTTGAGAAAACAGTACAATTCTGGGTACTCTCTTGTTATTAGGAACAGAAGATACAGTGGGGAGGGAGCGATAAAATATATTTTTATTCTAGCACACTGAGTCAAGGCGTTGAATATCTTTATTTTTTACTTTTTTTCATTTTCTTTACTTAGGCCCTTCACAGTTTCTAGCGTTTGCTGAGGTTTTAGAAACTGAAATCCAGTGTGATTACAGAACTCAATGTTGGGATATTGACATCACAGCATAGAGATTTTCACATATACATGTTTCAACATCAGTTCCAAATCTCATTTTTTTTTTTAAAAAAAGGGGAAATAACAATGAACTTAGAAAATTCTAGTATTTCTAGGGCACAAGCTAGAAGTTTAAATGGCCATCCGATTCTGAAAATGATTGCGTTACATTTGGTTTTCTCTTCTCATTTGTAAGACTTTAAATAAAATTTAATGCCATGATGTAACACGATAGTCATGAGCGTCCTGATAAAGCAGACAAAAGTGGCCATCATGATTACAGATACCTCTGGTGACACTTCCAATCATCAGAAGCCATGAGGTACATTAAAGATGCAAAAGCACAAAACACTGGGCTACCTTACAGTGAATGAAATGGCACATGTTATAGAGCAGCCATTAAAAAAAACTGGATAGTCAGTGATGCTTAGAATTGGGTGCCATCATTTTCAGACTTTCTAACTGCGAAATATTGAGAACAAAATGAAATACCGTAGTCTCTTTCCTGATTCAAGATGCCAAAGGTCCTGCAATAATCAAAATGTACTTTACCCCATTAAATGGAAAATAGAAAGAAAGCACATTGTTTGCATCTTATTTCATATTCTGCATTTGTATGGGTGTGTGCAAAAAGCAAACAATTAAAAATCCCAAACACCCCCTAGAAGAGAGAGCACGGAAATGTGCACCTCCAAGCTCTATTGAGCCACAGTGGATGGATGGATGGAGGAAGGGAAGGGAAAGGAAGGGAGATTAGTTTTATAACATAGCAGAGCTAGATATAAATAATCTTGGGTGTTGAACACACCTGACGTTTAATTGTACAGTTTAACTAGCTAAGAGTAAAAACCAACATGGGATGAGAAGGACAATGAAGTATTGTGAAAGAGGACTTGGCTGACTGGAAGAATAACATGGAGTATTCCACACTGCAACATTTGCTTGCAGATTCCAGTACTGTGATGCTGACACTTAGGTAACCAAAATAGCATCATTTACAAACCACAGAGAAGAATTAACTGGCATGATAGTTGGCACATTTTGTTAAAAGATGGGAAACACATTTCAAGAGCAATCAATGTTGGCTGATAGATCACAGAAGAGGACAGAGCTGACTGAATTCTGAATAGGACCATTGCAATGTTTCGTTGCAAGCATTCTAATTGTATGCATTATTAATTAAGATATATAAAAAATTAATTCTTGCAATTCAGCAACTTAAGTTGCAACCTTAAATGACATCACAGAGTTCTACATTCCGGTGATACCTCTGGACCACATGTAAAGTCAACATATTTTTTTTGGGGGGGGGGGGACAACATTATTGCTGTAGTGTCAGTAACTCCTTTTTGTAATAACAACTGCAGACTGTTGCCTTATGTGTAATGTTTATATGGATCCTTTTAATGAATTAGGAAGCTTTTCCTGCCCAGATCGAAGTAACTGAGAGCTGAATAGTCATTTATAATAACCATGCTATTATTGTGGTACTCACCCAACTTTGTTTTGCCTTTTAAAACTCCAGTCGCAATGAAATGCAGCAAAATGAAAACTAATTACCAAGAAGCCTTGCCAATACTCTCTTCTGCCCGACTCAACTTGCGTGGTTTGGTAGCCAAAGCGAAGGTAAGGCTGATGGATGTCATAAAGGGTTCTCTGGAACACACACACAAACACAGAGAGAACACCATGTTTTCAAGAGCTATTGCTTTTGTTAATTCAACTTTCCTCAATCTCTTGCACTCTAAATACCTTAAGAATATGAATCCTAGGATTTCTAATCAGATGGCCAATAATTGACTAGATGGCTAGGAAATTGGAGCTGCGTTACAGCACATCTGGAAGGCATTAGGATGGGAGGAACTGTATTACCTCTTCTTTACACTGAAAGGTGGGGTGGAGAGGTATCCCTATTTGTAGAAAAAAAATAGTTGTGAGAACTGTATTGGATTCAATAGCTATAAATGCCTTTCTATTGTACATCTGTAAAGAACAGACTACTTTTTAAGAAAGCAACTTTGAATGACACCTGCATTATGACATTTGCTTCCAGTGATAGAGTACAAATGCAGTCATTAACCGTTATAAAGAGAAGAGGTGGAGTCAGGAGATGGAAGAACCTCTGGCATTGCTCCCTTAGGAGCAACTTAGGATATCTCTTACAGTGGTCTCCCATGAGAAAAAAAAAGCATGGAAGGGAGCAAAAATAGATCATTAAATCCATTTGGATAAAAGTAGAAGAAATAAAGCTGGCCTATGCACCTGTAGAATTAATAATAATAATAATAATAATAATAATAATAATAATAATAATAATAATAATAATAATAATAATAATAATAATAATAATAATAATAATAATAATAGTAAAGTTGGAAGGGACCTTGGAGGTCATCGAGTCCAACCCCCTGCTCAGGCAGGAACCCTACACCATTTCAGACAAATAACTGTCCAGTCTCTTCTTAAAAACTTCCAGTGTTGGAGCATTCACCACTTCTGGAGGCAGGTTGTTCCATTGGTTAATTGTTCTAACTGTCAGGAAGTTTCTCCTTAGTTCTAAGTTGCTTCTCTCCTTGATCAGTTTCCACCCGTTGCTTCTCGTCCTGCCTTCAGGCGCCTTGGAGAATAGCTTGACTCCCTCTTCTTNTAAGGCATTGTAAAGTGGTATTAATACTTCACGTGATCTTGATTCTATCCCTCTGTTAATGCAGCCCAGCACTGTGTTGGCTTTTTTGGCAGCTGCAGCACACTGCTGGCTCATATTTAAGTGATTGTCCACTAGGACTCCGAGATCCCTCTCACAGTTACTACTATTGAGCAAGGTACCCCCTATACTATACCTGTACGTTTGGTTTTTCTTGCCTAAATGTAGAACCTGTCCTGTTGAGACCAGAAAGGTAAATGTCAAGAGGAAACACTCTGCTCTCAGAGCCAAAATTGAGTGCTTAGCACCTCTTCCCATAATCCCAGTCCGCCCCGAAGTTTGGTTGGGCTTGTGTATGATTTTGATTGAAAAGTCACAAAATAAGATAGGAAAACTCATGACTTCTTCTCTGGCTTTCCTCAATATAGTCAGTCAGAACCTGCATGATCACTAGTTGCCATATGATTAACTCATAGAATTTGGCTTCCACTGCAAAAGATATGAGAATGCAGCATCCTTGCCTTTGTTCATTGGGCATCTCATAGTTCATTCATCCCATTCATTCTTGCCTAGCTTTCAAATTTTATCAGCAGCAGATGCAGATGCAATCTAAAGTTACAGTAGAAGAGAAATGACACCCCTGAAGCTTGTCATAGTTTCTGCTCTTCTCTGTTGCACATGTTTCTTTTTATCCACACATCCAAAAGAATGCCAGATTCTCACTTCGGTCCCAAGTGGATGAGATACTTCATTATGATTAGTAAGGTTTACTAGAGATTCTTGTCCAGCATTTCCATTATGGATCTTTTGATGCCCAATTCTGTTATTTTTAAAAGATGTTGTCTTACATTCTTGTCAATGTTCAGAACCTAGCTACTGAATAGTTGAAAAAAAACCACCAGTGATTACATACACAAGGGCTTTATAAAAATGTGTAGACCCAGGGCTATATGTCAGGCCTCCAGTGCCTTTGGTATGGTCCTCAGAGTTCTCCTAAAGTTGTCAGCAAGGTGTAATTGATAGTAAGAGTGAACTAATTATGAATTTGCTGTAGAACAAATCACATTAACTGTGGAGAGTAAATGTAATTTAATTTTGAATGTTAATGTTTACCCTGGCCTTGCTATTGTTTTTATAGCAAAGCCCATGATAAGCACTTCAAAGCTATGTGAGACCTTAATCCTGGAAAGCAGTTTTGCACACTCCTTTATGGAACAGGTTGCTAGGCAACAAAAGTCCTGAAATTTATCTAAAGTGCGTCCTGTCTGGCTGAGGAATTCTGGGATTTGAAGTCCACAAGTCATAAAAGGGCCAAGTTTGAAGACCCCTGGTCTTGCCCAAGGCTTTCCACTGAAATCTCTCAAGAATCTGTTTTGAAAGCTAGCCGCGTTGTGTCTTGCAATGGAGTTCTGCTCTTTTCTAATTTTAAAATGTAAAATTCTATTAAAATTCTATTTTAATATAATTTTGACCCAAATGTTAAAATCTTCTTCATATGGCTTGCAGATGGAAAACTAACAGGTTAACATTGCATGGGGGGATCTTCCTCATTTGTCACCTACAGAGGAACACCAGCATGCTGCCTTTGGAAATGGGAATAATCTTGTGTAGATGCCATAAAGAAATGAGATCTCTGAAGTTATGGAAATGGTTGTGGTTAGATTGTTTTAAAATCTTGTGCCTTACTTAGAGTAAGGTTTCCCGTAAAAAAAATTGCTTTCAACTTTCTTGTGTAGCAAAATTTTGCAGATGCTGTAAGTGATGACGTTTCCAGTGACCTCGCTGAAGAAGTGGCAGAAATGAAGAATTTGATGATGGAATTGCAAGAACTTAGCAACCAGCTAAGGAATCAGACTTGAGAAAAGAAGATCCGATTTCTTGGAAAGACAGAAGGGCACGGCTGGCACACTTCACTAGTTGTAGCTTGCGCTGATGAGCATTCAGTAAATCAAACACCTAAAGGCCTCTTTTAAATAAATATTTATCCATACCGTACAACCATTAATATTTGCCAACAAGTTTTTCTAGTTATACTTTCTCAATTATATGGGCTTTGCATTGGCTTGGATTTTATGGAACAAATTACGCCTGCTTTTTATTTAGGAGTCCTTTTTTCTTTAAGATTAGATCTGCCTTGCTGCAAAAGTAATTGGCTTCTGTCCATAGTTAACGGACTTTAAGGCTACGAACAATTGGAGAGTTCTGTTTGTGGTGGAAGTGGAAAGGAAAGGGCTATTTGATTTGATTGTGTCAACAGGAACTTGGAAATATGGAAGGGGGAATATAAAACGGAACTGACTGTATTCTGGGATTTTTAAAGCAAGAGGATCCAATTGTATTTTCTTTAGCTTGTGCTTTTCAAATGCAAGTATTAACCCACAAAGTAACGCTTGCCGAGAAATTTTGTATGCTAATCCTTTTCAAAATAACAGGTTTAGGAATACAGATAGTCCCTGACCTATGATCACAACTGAGCCCAAAATTTCTGTTGCTAAGTGAGACATTTGTTAAGTGAGATTTACCCCACTTTACGAATTTTCTCACCACGTTTGTCAAGTGAATCGCTCCAGTTATTAAGTTAGTAAGAAGATTGTTAAGTGAATCCGGCTTCCCCATTGAGTTTGCTTGTCAGAGGTCGCAAAAGGAGACCACGTGACTCCGGGACACTGCAATTGTCATAAATATGAAATAGTTGCCATGCATCTGAATTTTGATCACATGACTATGGTGATGCTGTAATGGTTGTAAGTGTGAAAAATGGTCATAACTCACTTTTGGTGTAACTTCAAACAGTCACTAAATGAACTATTGTAAGTCGAGGGCTACCTGTACAAGACCACCTATAGCGGGTGGGGAACCTTGGCTCTTTTATGACATGTGGACTTCAACTCCCAGAATTCCTGAGCCAGCCATGCTGAGGGGAAAGGGAGAGGTTTCTAAGCTGAGCCATGCTGGCTCAGGAATTCTGGAAGTTGAAGTCCACAAGTCATAAAAGAGCCAAGGTTCCCCACCCCTGAACTATAGCTTCCTCTCCATAAGCTAGGTGTGTGTGTGTGTGTGTGAGAGAGAGAGAGAGAGAGAGAGAGAGACAGACAGACAGACAGACAGACAGACAGACAGACAGAGAGAACACAAGCAACACCTAGCATCACAGTATCAGCAGCTTTGCCTGGGCTGGAGTTGGATATACTAGCTTTGTATCTTCAGCCATCTAAAAATGGAAGATAAGGTCTCCTTCATTAGACCGGTCCATCACATTAAGTCTTAATATAGTTGCCACGAGTTAGCTTTATATGTGGTATGTACCAAACCAATTGTGACCTACATAACAAAAGTTGAGTAAATTTTGATTTAGTCCAGAAATGTGCAACTTCCCTTGAAGGCGGATCCGCGTCAGAGCTGGTAGCTGCTGTATTTTAAAGGCAAAATCTTGGCCCATGCCAAAAAACAAATCAGATCTGGCAATCTGTGGTAGCTACAAAAGGGATAGAGTCGGGCTGCATACATCCCATAAGCTGTAATTTCCTCCCTGGCTTGGTAGGAAAGCTTTTCCTTGGTAGGCATGATACAATGATTTTACTTGTTTATTTCTAACAATTGATCTTCTAACTATATAGCTGCTGAATGGGAAAATTTTATGCTATTGTAATTAACAGCCATTAATGTAACCTCTTTGTTTACAAAAATATTGGCTATAATCGCATTTGTGTGATCAGTTCTGTAACGTAGGTTTGCATTTTATAAATAAGTAATTTTTATATTTGTCCTAAATTTACTGTTTCTTCAGGATGTTGTATTCATATATTGTATTCTAACTCAGTTGCTTTTTCCTTTCATACAGTAGATCAAGCCAGTGGTGGGATTCAAATATGTGAACAACCGGTTCTCTGTGTGGATGCCGCTTCTGGAAGTCCATTCTGGCTGGGCCTGAGCAACAAAAAATTAGTTACCGGTTCTGCCGAAGTGGTGTGAACTGGCTGAATCCCACCACTGATCAAAGCTCACAATTTATATTGATTACATTATTGAATTGCTCATTTTGTATCTTCTCCAGCTCCATCTTTGTGGAGATTGGCTGGCCAGAGAGTGGAACTCTGCATATAGTGGAGACTTGTCTTACTTTTAATGAAAAATTAGTAGAAAATACATAGAATATTCTTCACTTTATGTTCTTCCCCTTAAGTGAAGAATTGAGACTAGTACTACAAAATTTGAACAACTGAAATCAAACAGCCCAAGCTGTCATACTTATACAATATAGGAAACCTTCTCCATAAATACTTAGAATGATATATAAATAGTTGGTTCAATCAGCAAGAAATTCCGGCATGATTTAAATGCTGCAGTACTACTCATTACAGAAACATTTTTGCTAATCATTCTTGATGAAACTAATAAAAAGTTAGAGATATTATAATTCTACTTTTCATTCAGCACCTATTTTATAGGGCTCAATTCCAGTTTTGAGCAAATGTTCCTATAAGTTAATTTAGTTTGTGCAATAGGATGCCAAATGGGCATCTTTTTAGTTGTTAATTCGTAGAAAGGTAGATTAGATTTCATAAAACCTCGGAATTTTTTGTTTAAATTAAACAGTAATCTAAGCATTAGCAGATGATCAGAAAAACAGTACAAACAAAATACAATTGAAGCAAAGTATTTGAAATATTTTTTATACTCAACATTAGTAGCAAAATTGCTTGTTTGATTAAATTCCTGATTTGTCTGAACCACATTTTCTTTTAATGTGACTGACTCTTTTGGCTTCCAGATAACAGAGAACAAGGAAATGAAGTCACAAAGGTGTGAGAAAGGAGGTGAATATCCCCATCTAAATAGAGCTACCTTAGTTTTATTTGTTATCTGGTGCTGGATCTCTTGATAAATCATTCACCTTTAGAAAACGTTAGGCTAGGCACAGTGGGCGAACATTCCTGATATTGTTTGCAAGAATGATTATGTTTCATTATCATTGGTGAACTCATTTTTAATAAAGTTCCAACAATAGAAGTACGTGTTACACAAGTCTACAAAGGAAGTAGGATGATTTCCTCTTTATTGTGATATAATGGTTTTAAATCTATCACATCTCTGCCAAGAATAGACATTCAACATGATGGATAGCTGGCAGATAGCTGGAACTGATGCTCAGAAATTATCTTACATGTTTTAAAAGGGAAGTGGAAAAATATGCAAAAACAATGGCATTGACTATTTTTGTTAATTTTATGTTTATATTTTAAAAAGACATCCATGAATAAAAGTAGTTGTACAAAAGAGTGTTGATGAAGAAACTGACCCACAAAATGAATTTAATTGAATGTATATGGCATCCTTTCATGATGTAAATTCATCCTAATAAACCATTAAAGGGGCAAAATAATTTATTGAAAGATTGCCATTAATTACCCATACTTGAAACCTGCAGAACATGGTGATTTTTTTCTTCTGCAAATGAAAGATCCTAAGCTATTGAATAGCTTTTTGTCAATGAGGTTAAGGTTTTAATTGTTTTAAAAAGTAAAAGCGAGAGACCATGAGTTCTGGTCCTGCCTTACCCATGAAAGCCACCTGGGCCAGTCACTCTCTCTTAGATCAACTCGCCTCACAGGGTTGTTGTAGTGGGGAAAATAGGACGAAGGTATGTTGTATATATTTGCTGCTTTGAGTTATTATTTGTAAAAACAATAAAGGCAGGATACAAATAAATAAAGGGCAATTTATCATGAATATAGTTAATAGCTACAGCATGTAGACTTTATATACCGCTTCACAGTGTTTTACAGCCCTCTCTAAGGGGTTTAGAGTCAGCATATTGCCCCCAACAATTTGGGTCCTCAGTTTACCGACCTCGGAAGGATGGAAGGCTGTGTCAACCTTGAATCCCGTCAGGATCAAACTGCTTGCATTTGGCAGAATTAGTCTGCAATGCAGCATTCTAACCACTGGGCTACCACGGCTGTGATTAAAGAGAACATATTAAGGTTTTTTTTTTGCATTTGTCTTTATATGAAAAAAATGTCTTACATTGTGTTGGATGGAAAACCAAAACAATGGACAGAGAAGGCAATATTTACTATCACAGCTTTATACTAGCAGCAGCATAAGCTTGCCTACCAATTCCTTAATTTGACAGTCGATGTGAGGAAACTCATTCATTCAGTTTTGAAAAAATATAACAGAATTGTCTCCCTGCTGCAAATATTTACCCTGCCTGAGTTCTTCAAACTGAGATCAGGAAGCTCTTAAAATGCTGCATATGTTTGTTTCTATTGCTATGTTTCCTAGCACTGTACAGTTTGCATTCTGAGTTTCTAATTAAGTTCCTAGGGATGGGTACAAAGCAAAAAAAGAGGAAGCTATGGTACCTGGGGGTTCCAGTTCCCGAGATGTAAAAGACTTCACCCTAATCATCACAAGACAACATGGATCAAAATCTTAACTACACTCAGGTTTTTCCATTTCCAGAGCTACTTCATAACAATATGATTTGGGGAATTCAGTTTAGGGCAAAAGTGGGAAATCAATGGCCCGTCATTCATTGTTGGTGTTATTGTTGTATTCATTAATGTTTGTTGTAAAGCACCAAGGGTTCATTATAATTGATATAAAGCTGATCATATGTATCTTGACTACAGTTAGCTGAATTACCCAACACTTTGCTAAAATCAGGGGATTATTCCATGCTTTAATATCCGTTCCTTTAGAGAGGAGAATTACTTTTTTAATGCCATCCAGACTGGCTGAAGATCAACTTTCTATTAGAAAATGAAGTACAACTCAGGATCTGTTCAGATTGGGTGGGTTATAAATATTACAAAATAAACTTTGTTTTGTGTTCCTCGGGATATCATAGAACTGAAATGGGTCACTGATGCTACTGACTCCAAAATCTACTCAATGCTCATATCTAAAGCAAAGCATTTCTGACTAATGTCTGTCTAAATTCAACTTGAACATAGCCAACAAAGAGCAGTCCATCCATCTGGCTAATTAGTTTTGCTG